AAAATAAACAAAAGTATGAAATTTAGAAGTCTAAGTTTCCATTTTTATTAAAAAGAATGACATGTTGACTTGATTAACTATTACTCTACCTCACGTCAAAGTTTGTGAATGATTCAATTTTTTACAAATTAAAGTAGAAGATCTTTATTAGGAATTAGATACTCAATGCAAATAATTTAATGATCACTGGTAATTTTTTAGAATTACATAGAGATATAAACTAATATAATGTTAGATTAATTAAGATGTGTTAAATATTTTCTTAACGTGTACGTAAATTCCATCATAATAGATTATATGTGTCAAAATGTGACATTGTGCTAGCATTAAAATTTTATATGTAAGCATTTGAACATGTGTATATTAAAATAAGCGACCTAGAATCGTAAATTGCCACATCAAATTTAAATGTTTTATCTATATATATCCAATATAGATATTAAAATAAAAACTATGTAAAATATTTATTTATCATATTACATGTGGATCTCATTTAGTTATATTTTTTTCTATTTTATCTTGAAATATCCCAACATAACCAAAAATAGTAATATTGTGTTTGATGTTCCAAAATGAATAAAAAACAATTGATTTTAAATAAAAGATTTTAGTTTAAAATTAATGATTAATTAAATGAGATTGATAATTTGTTTCTATAAGTAAAAAAATATAATATATAATAAAGGAACTCATACTTACAAACGAAAAGAGAGACAAATAATAAGTAAGATATTGAAATGAATTCATAATAAATAATTATGTATAAGCTTAGATAAAAATAATTATGTCACTCACGAAGAAAAGAATATTTAATGCAAGTTTGTAATGCATATTCACAGTAATTGATCATGAAAAAAAAAAGTATTTATTTGTAACAAACAATTATGATATTATTTGAATGTTAAATAATACATAAAAATTAACAATATGTATTTCAATACAATAATGAATACGAATTAATTATTTATGTGTAACAATTTTTTTAGGCATTTATTTAGCCAAGGGAAGTTGGAGTGTAAATTCCAATACAATCATGAATACAAATTAATTATTTATGTGTAACAATTTTTTGAGGCATTTATTTAGCCAAGGGAAGTTGGAGCGTAAATTCAAATACAATTATGAATACAAATTAATTATTTATGTGTAACAATTTTTTTGTATTGTTAAATAATGCATTGAAATTAATAATATTTATGTTAATGTAT